CAAGCGTGATCCACAATGGATGAGAACAGTCTCTCTTCCATAAAGAGGGGGAAGATTCTAAGAAGGGCGGGAGAAAACTTCTACTTCCTTCACAAGCACACTCCCAGGCAGATGAAGGTGAGGAGATTGGGAGGTGGATTCCCCTGAAACGATCTGCATTTTGAACCCGCAGCAAAGTCACATTTTGGCTCAAGGATCATTGCTCCGGTGAGTCAGGGTCATCTTCCTCTCACGGGTGGTGACAAACTCCCGGAGACGTGGAGAGTTTATTGAAAATCCACCAATAGGGAGCGCCTGGGTGGCTCAGTTGGTTAAGCGTTGGACTTCAGCTCAGGTCATGATTTCACGGTTCATGGGTTCAAGCCCCACTCGGGCTTTGTGCTGACAGCTTAGAGTCTGGAGCCTGCTTTGGATTCTGTGTCTCCCTCCTCTCTCTGCCCCTCTCCTGCTTGCTCTGTCTCTCAAAAATGAATAAACATTAAAAAATTTAAAAAAAGAAAGAAAAGAAAATCTACCAGTCATTGCTCCTCCCTCTGTTCTACAAAAATCTTTTTCCATAATGGTTTTTAGTAAAAAACATCAAGATTTATTTCAAACATAAATTTCATCCCAACCATGTATCCCTACCTTGACTTTCTCTGATTTTTTTTTTTGAAAAAAAAAAAAAATCTACAAGCCTTTATTTTGTTTCCAAAGGCCATTTTCTTCATTATGGATAAGAGGACTCTGGGGAAAGGAATGAATTGCCCAAACATGTCTGTGCTATGAAACTGATTTTATCACTACTGTAAAAGTTCCTCCCTCATGTAAATCTAGAGGGAAAACAAGAAGTAACATATGTGGAGTGAGGGTATTTAAAACCCTTGGAGTTTGGAAGGGAGACCTCACATTAAGTACCCAAATCCTGTAGCTTAATGGCCAAACGTTCCTGTGAAACTGAGTGTGGACAGGAGGAAGGACAGGACACTGGGAGATGGTCCACCCACCAGGATATCCAGCCCAAGGATCTAATACAAACGCAGGTGATAATGCCAGTCTCCGTGGCAAAGCCATAGGCATTTCTGTGGCAAAGTGAAGACACCAGACAGGAAAGTGGATCTTGACGACTCACCAGAAGCCAAACAGGTCAGCAGTATGGCCCCTACAATGTAGAAATGTACATCAAAATCTTCAAGACACATATACATACACTCAAAGCTATTTCAATGACTGTACCCTAACAAGTGCACAAAGAATACGCAACACATACGTTCACGGTATTTTTCTATAATAATAAAAACCAGAATCCTTCATGACCATCAGCAGGGAACTGAACATAGAAATTATGGTAAACCACAGTCCATCCATTAAAATGGATGACTATGTAGCAATGACTCTGAATGCTACAAACCCATTTACTGTCTTAGGCAAATGGCCACAATTTGTATCACTGAGGGTAAAACTCAGATTAATAAAAAAAAGTATGTGTTAATAAAATAGTATGAACCCATTTCGTAAGTGTGTGCGTGTTTTGTCGGCACACAGGGGCACACCCATGCATGTATTCAAGGAGTCAGTCAGGAAGGACATGAGCCAAAACGTGAACGCCTTGATTGAAAGCGAACCAACCCTTTATGTCTACAGCACAAGGCAATGACACCGGGCACAAAACACAAGCACAGAGCTGAACACAACGGAACACAGGATGTTCTATTTAAGATGACGACACAGAACTCAGAAACCAACGAGTTCTTGGGATCGGCTCGGGAAGCCCTAGGTGGCTTCCAGGAAAATGGGCCAAGTCCTAAAGCCAAAGAGAATGGGGCTGGTGCTCAGAAATGCTGTGAGGGTCCCACTGAATTTGACCTGGATGTGGGGCATGTTGAAAGGACATGTAAAATGGCGTTCTTTTCTACGGATTCTGCTCTATAGTGGTTCCTGATATTTAAAATATTAAGGTTTAGGTTTTTAAAAAAGTATCGGGGCATCTGGGTGCCTCCGCTGGTTAAAGACTGACTCTTGATTTTGGCTCCGGTCACGATCCCACGGTTTGTGTCCTCGCTGACAGTGTGGAGCCTGTTTGGGATTCTCTCTCTCCCCCTCTCTGTTCCTCTCCTACTTTCTCTCTCTCAAAATAAGTAAACTTTAAACAAATAATAAAAATAAAAACAATGCCCCCAAACCACAAAGAACAAGAATCCAGCCCACAAACAGAGAACAGACTGATGGCTGCCAGAGAGGTGGGGGTGGACAAAATGAGTCAAAGGTTCAAAAGGTACAAATTTCCAGTTCTAAGATGAGTAAGTCCTCAGGAAGTAACATACATCATGGTGACTATAGTTAAAATACCATACTGCAGATCTGAATATACCTAGAAGAGTGGATCTTGAAGGCTCTCATCACAAGAAAAACTATGTATGGTGACAGATATTAACTGTACTACTGAGGAGGCCATTTTGCAATATACACGAATACCAAATCACCTGAAACTAAGATATTATAGGTCAATTACACCTCAAGTTGAAAAAATTAAAAAATAACACACAAAAATTTTTTTTTAATGTTTATTATTTTGACAGAGACAGAGTGTGGCCAGGGGAGGAGCTGAGAGTGAGAGGGAGACACAGAATCTGAAACAGGCTCCAGGCTTCGGGCTGTCAGCACAGAGCCCGACGCAGGGCTCGAACTCAGGAACGGTGACATCATGACCTGAGCTGAAGTCAGACACTTAACCGACTGAGCCACCCAGGCACCCCCAACACAAAAAAAAAAAAAAAAAAAAAAAAAAAACACACAAAAAAAACACAAAAGCATGAAAAGCTCTACCAAGTCAGCTTTCCCTTGATGATCACGATAATTATTGAGAGAGAGAGAGAGAGAAACAAAAGGGCATTCCCAGGAATCTCCTCTTTCCCACTGCCAACAGTCCACACCCATCCTCCCATCCAAAAAGGCACAGGACCGTCCAGATACTTTTCAGTATTTTTATTGTTTGACAGGCATTTACAACGTTCCATTCGTAGACCTAAAAACATAAAAATAGACCTTCTTTCAGCTTATAAAAGAAATATATAAGAACTTTTGACATAGACACGTCATGACCTTATGTACAAGAGACAATGGCACCCTCTCTAAGCACCAGACTTTCTAGCATCTGCAGACGGAACCGTTGCACTGGGACTAGTGTGGCTATCAGAAGTCTCTGCTTCCGTTTTCCATCTGGACACAATCGAACTGGAGGTGATATGGAACAATGCAGTGGTACAAAGGGTATAGAAACCATTCTAAAGCTTTTTAAGAAAACCAGAAGATATAGCAAAAATTTAATAGAATAAAACTTTCAAAAGATCAAGCTCAAAGCCCTGGAAACCCGAAAGGGGGGGGGGGGGGGAGGGGACAGAGGGTGGAAAAGCAGGTAAAGCAAGCAGGGGTACCAGAGCGTGATGTTCTGAACTCTCTATTGTCTGGAAATATAAAGTCATAACTGATTTTTATAAAATATAACTCCTAAAGCTACTATAAAATTCAGGTCTTTAAAGTACCTACTGATGTGTCAAACACCAAATAGATATTTTCCCCAAAAAAGAAAGTTTTCATATTATTGAAACCCTTCTTAGGAAGTGGACATTGTGAAATGGGAGAAAAAAAAAAAAAAGCTATAAACCGTTTTAAAAGAATCAAAAGTGCTTTAACTTGTTTTTGTTCTTCCTATTTGGAAATCTGTTGAGAACGTTAGGTTTTTTAGCGTGTTTACCCTGTTTTTGTTGGCATGTTGAAAGTATTAAACACAAGATAGGTTTCTGAAGAGGCTGTTTTGTTAAGGGGTCTGGTGTGGACCGTCAGGGAAGGGACAGGTATTCTATGGATGAGGATGCAACTTTGATGGGAAAACCAATGATCACCATGGCAACCCCTTGAGAAGGAGCCTCCCCTCCCCCGCCACGTGCAACAGACATAACACACTGCCCATCCGGGTGTCATGTTTAACCCAGCCAAGCTCCCATCTCGCATAGAGATTCAAACATTTAAAAAAAAAAAAAGGCAATCTGTTTCTTTAAAAGTTTCTCCTAAGCATCTTGTTGGCCTTTCATATATAAATATAAAATCACCATGCCTCACTCTCTCTGTAAAAGGTAAAATCCTCATTTCTTTAGATTCAGAGTTACACTAGCACTGTAAAATTCTTATCTGTTTGTGCCCCTGCATCTCAAGTAAAATACAAAAAATAGTGTTTTTTTGTGTGTTTTTTTTTTTTCAAGTGATAAATTTGGATCTCTTCTTAAAGAGTTTGGCATCTTTATAATTCTATGCAAAACTAGAACTTCCGAACACGGACACTGAGTAAGACCAGCCATGGACCAAAACAGAAGAGAGAGAAGAAAACAAACAAACAAACAAAAAACCAACAAAAAAAAAAACCCAAAAAACAACTCATCAAAACATACATCTCCACCGTCTCCTCACACATTCTTAAAATACACAGATATTCTCAGACATTTAAGAGGGGAAGGAGTAAGAACATTGTAGACGGTACAGTTGCTTTGTTGTGTTTTGTGTTTGAACGTGGTTTCCCCAACTGAGAGATGGCTCCTGGACTGATTTCAGATAGAGCGACTTTTATTATTGTTAGTTTTTGTGCTGTCCCTTCAACTAATCTTTCGTAACATACTTAAAACACCCGGGGTGATTCTTTCTCCAGTGCTACAGAATCTTTTTTTTGTTTTATTTTTGAATTTTTCCGGCCCTGATTAGTTGAGGATAAGAGCCCTTAGGAATGTACAGAAGATGGAACTCGAGCTTATTTGGGATTCTGGACAATTCTTTCTGATGTCATAAGAGATGACGAAGTTGGGTGGCGACGTGGCTTCAGCACAAAGTCAAGCCGCCAAAACCGTGTGTGTGTGCAAGAGTGCCACCTACGGGGACATTCTCCTCCTTGAGGGGACAGGAGGGGGCAGGGGGAGGGCGGGGCGTGGGGGGTGGGGAGTATCTACACACACTCTCTAGGGGGAAAGTGACAGTCAGATCTCAGTGTTCAGTTTCCTGGAGGGGGCAAAGTCTTCGCGCCTAACCCAGATGACTTCCTCGCTCGGGCCCTCCAGGCCTCCATTGATGCCCGACAGGGCGGCTTGCTTCTTGAGCTGCGTCATGCGGGACGCGTGACTATCCAGGCTTTTGCGGCCTCTCTCCCGCTGACTGATGGACGCAGCCTGAAGCTGCTCGGGCAGGTCTGTGTCCACCGCGGCGCCCTTCACGGACTCACAGAACTCATCATCGTCACTGAGGATGTCTGTCTCCTTGATGTCGTCTTGCTCCTCGTACTGAGCAAGATCGAACTGCTCCTCTACCCATCGGTCAGTGTCCCCGCCACCGGGGGGCTGCTGGGACTCTTTCTCCGGGCTGCTGGCCGAGATGGCATCAGAGTCAATGGTAAACCTGTTTCGAGCCAGTCGCCGCCTCCTTCTGCCAAGAGACTTGCTTGGGGCGGACACTGCACACACACACAAAAATATAAAAAGAAAACCCCCACATGCTTTACATGCGATGAAAATCCAGACAGCAAAGAAAAGAAAAAGAAATGCTAAATGGTATTTATTTGATGTCGTTCGGGGCTTAAAGTCCAGATTTCACCAGTCTGCCTTAGAGTCTTTATTTCACACAGATGTCTGGACTTGGAGGATGTCATAGCAACGGACCGAAGGGCAGGGCAGGGGGAACAGAGGGACGCAGGGGGCTGTCGGTTATGGGGAAAAGGGGATTCACCTCCCTCTGAAACAATCCATTTCTCTATCTACCCTGTGCTACACCCAGTTGACCTCTGACCCTGGGATTAGTTAGTGCCCTCAGCCCTGACGATGTCCCATGGTGCAGTGCTCTGGGGATCCCCAGGGGCTGTCCTAGGGTCATGTAGCTGGAATGGGTCTCTGGTAAGGGTAGGGGGTGCTTTTAGGGTTCCACTGGCTTCGTAGAAATCACACATCAAGGAGGCAGAAGTTTGGGTCCAAGTTATACTGCTCTCTGGGAAACCAAATGTCACATTTCTGGAGGATCTGCAGTGAAGTAAGGGCACGGCGTCCCTCACGCAGAGCCTACAGGAGAGTGGCTCTCAGAGACACCAAGTCTCCAGTCACGGCCCTGCCCGCTTTCTGACAAAGCCCCACGTCAACTGTGAGGCTGAGCAAATGTGAGCTTTAGTCCCTCCTGACGACATTCTGTGTGTCACCGATTACTCTCCTACAGATCAATTAAAATACCGGTGCCCGAGTGGAATGAGAAAGAAGTCATATATGACACCCATGCCATTGATCCTCAAAGCGCCGTATAAAGGGACTCACCATTACCAACAAACAGATCTTTGAATTAGTTTGTTCACCCCACAGCCCTCTAGGAAGCCAGAGTTTTTCAAAACACACAAGACGCCACTCAATCAAGCAAACGAACACTCCCACCACACGCTCACACACAAAAGACACATACACAAGGGACGCCACTGCCTGGTCCCTGCTAGTCAAGGGGCTGTGGCATTAGACACGAGAAGGTGAAATGCAACATGGGGTTCCCAGTGGAGGGGAAGAGCCTAAACCCCCATTAGGAGCCGCGTTCCCGGCATCTAAGCCCTAAAACCATTAAACTGTTTTCGGTGTAAGAAGTACGATAGCTATTCCCAAGTACTGCCAAACATAGCCATGACTCCAAACACAGCAGGTATACGGGCAGTGGGTTGGATGACGCCCTCACTTGGCTCCCATTCCGGCCATCCTCTGGCTCAGATCCCTAGGTTTCTATCGTTCTACCAGCTGAAAATGGAACAAACGGACATCGCTCTTGATCAAGGAGGGGAATCGAATAAAGGTTTCCAGGAAAAATGGAAAAAAAGAGAGAGAAAAAAAGGCACTACTTTTACTCCAGTGGGAAAAAGCAAAACTTCCTGTTCAGTTTATCCCAATCCCACCATAGTGGAATCTGCCTGTCTCCAATCGCCATATTAGAACCACCTCAATTCAAAATTGGGCTACTGGAAATATTTTTGCCAATGCTCAAGTATTCAGGGGTAAAGTGTGTTAATGTGTGTATTTTTGAAATGTGTCAGAAATACGATGCGTTGACGGACGATAGATGGACAGATACGGGATAAGGAAAATACAAAACAAAAACAAAAACAAAAACAAACCCCAATTATAGAATGGATGGTAGGTTCTGTATGTGTACAATTCTTTCATTTTCATTGGGCTTTTGGCAGACATAAAGTACTTGCAGACTGAGTACTGAGGCAAGACACTTGGCTTTACTGTCCTTTTCAATCAGAACAGAGAAATAAACTACCTGGGTATTTATGACAATGCACAATGAAGCACGAGTATTTATCCTTTGTTAAAAGGATACTTCATAACCTGGACGGCTATACAGGGTTCAGGGAGACCATCTCTGACTTGCGTATTCCCAACTCATTGTTAAGACTTGTGACAAACTGGTGCTGGCTGAGCCACTCAAGCATCATCTTTAAATCGTCTAACGTGAAGATGCTGACGATGATACTGAGGGGTTTGCAGAATGGCCAAAACTTTCTTCAGCTAACTATGAGCCATCAGGCAGACAACTTCCAATCAGCCAAAGCCAACAGGCTGACATTGAGGGTTTCTCTTGGTGTCCATGATGGTGTAACTCTGCATTCGTTTTCGCTCCAAAGGGGTCTTAGCAGGAAAACTTCTGAGTGTCCTGCAGACTAAAATCGCTTAGTTTTAACGCAAATGCAGCTCTGAATTTAGGTTCGTTGATTAACAACTGAAACCTAGCCAATGACAAGCACATTTCCTGAGGCTGGCACACGTATTCGCAATCCGAATTTAAACATTCCCTGGCAAGTAAAAAGGTTAGGCGAGACAATTCTCAGGAGAAGTGCTCTACTGTGAGGTATAAAGGGATCTGCAAAGTTTTCTTCACATGAGGACTCCGCGAGAAATTGTGGATACAAAGGTATGTCAGATTCTCAAGACACTTGGAGAACCCAACAGAACACGAGATGTTCACTGCACTAGGTTTTCAACAGACGTTTATCAACTGATTGGAGAGTAGGTTCGACTTAACTAACCCCCAACATTAGTTAAATGTAAGGTGCCTCAAGAACATAATACCCCACGTCAAGCTAAGTAGGCTAGGTCTACGAAAACCTCCAACCATTCACAATTCTATCTATGCCTCTTCGACACAATTGTGAATCGGCAGAAAGGTGACCCGGACAAAGGTCAGAACCTTCTCAGCAAATGCCAAGGAAGCCTCTTTTACTGGACAATTCCCTGCAAAATTCAGGGCTACCTCTTAAGAAAGGAGGGATAAAAGCGTGAATATCTTGATGTCACTAATACCTATGTTATGAAAATACCTTTCTTCCTAGATATATTTTACTGCTATTTATAGATGGTAGTATAGGTCTTCCTTCCTCACTGCTCCAAGGTGATGATTCCAGTCCTAAAAGAATATTTACTCTGGGACCATTTAAACTCTAGTTTCCTCTTTAGCAAATAGCAGCTCAAGGCTTCCCCAAACTAACACTGAAGCTAAAAATAAAGTTGCAGGCACTAGGCAAGGGTAAACAGCTTATGTGTCACCTGGTCTACCAAACACACCATCCTTACTGAGAACAGGCATCGCTGTGTTTTCAGATTACAGAGCCACCATGTTTTCAGAATGGCAGGCCGTGACCTTGCTGAGACAGGACACACCGCTTTTTGCTAGACAAAGCCGGCTGTCATGCAAAGCAGCGACTCTCATTCCACAAGCAGGCTGAGAGAGCCCCTCCAGAAAGGGACCGCGCTCACTTGCTGGCTTGGCGAATGAGAGAGGCGTCCCCAGCCAAAAGGAGGAGGGTGGCAGAGGGAAGCTGGAGGGAGGGCAAGATGAGTAAATGAAGGGCGGATCCCCAGGGAGCTGCCGGGAAGGAGGCAAGGGCAAGGAACCTGACACCAGGGAAGAGCTGTACTCCAGTGTTAGCCCCCACAAGGCCACATCTAATTCCTGCTCAATAGAAAGGTCAAGCTCACTGGAGTTCTACAGTGGAGTGGGGGTGACGGGGATCTTGAACGTCTGAATCCCCACAGTACCTGCCCTGCTCATGGCTGGCCTGGCCCCTTTGAGCGCACACAATCTTTTTCCTCCAAAAGGTACATATTGCTGGGATGAGGGAAGGCTTTCAGTTTTGAGGAGCTGTCTTCTGTGCTTATCACGCAGGATTGAATGCACAGCCTTCAGGAAATCTTTCCGGCTCTCTGGAGAGCTATGAAAAGAAAGAAGATTTACACGCGTTAGGGGGAAAAAGTACTTAAGACATGGGGATCTTCTAATGTTATCGGGGGCAGCCCAACAAATATCCCTGAGGACCAAAGGTTAAAGAGGCCACAACTCCAATTTCTGCGCTGAGCCATGTTTTCATTCCTGGAGATAGAGAACACACACTTCTTTCCCTTTATGCTTTGCGACTCATCTCCCGCAGCTAATGTGGGACAGACAGCCCACTGACGAATAGATTGATGGATACACTGATCCTGCACCAAGAAGTTGCCAGATTCTGCTTTTGACACTTAAGGCCTTTCGTTCCAAAATGTTTTTTTTACAGGCAAATGAACCACAGGATTCTCCGCTCTGCAGAGCACCCAAAGACAGACATCCCAACGACCTTAGTTTCCTCTAGAGTTGGCCTTATGTTAAATATCAGCTACTCCCATGACATATTTGAACAAGTCGATATTTTTTTAAAGACTTTTTAAAATGTTATTTATTTTTGAGAGACAGAGCATAAGGTGTGGGGGGGGGGGGGGCGGGGGACAGAGAGAGAGACACAGAATCCAAAGCAGGCTCCAGGCTCTGAGCTGTCAGCACAGAGCCCGACACGGGGCTCGAACCCACGAACCGTAAAGATCGTGACCTGAGCTAAAGTGGGACGCTTAACCGACTGAGCCACCCAGGTGCCCCACGACAAGTCAATATTAAAGCTACCTTGAAAAGAACTAAAAAATCTTCCCAAGCCCTAATTCCCACAATAAAAACCTTCCTCCTAGGTAAGAGTAATTTTTCTAATTAGGTCGTCAGTATTTCTACCCAGGTAAGTGGCACTCGGTCTTCCGTATTAATGATGAATGAATACAGCATCTCTAGGGGCAGGCTCACCAAAGTCCATGGACTTTGCCAACAAAATCACAAACAGGTTAGCCTACGCAGATAGGACCCAAGTTTGAACTCAGTGTTCATTTCTGTAATATTTTAGGCAAAGTAGCCTCCGTGAGCCTTGGCTCCCCATAGGTAAAATGGAATAATGGAACCTCAGTCTGGCTAAATGAAATAATGCATGTGGTGGGGGGTGGGGAGGGCGCGGCATCTGGGTGGCTCAGTCGGTGAAGCATCCAACTGTAGGTTTCGGCTCAGGTCATGATCTCATGGTGATGAGCTGGAGCCCCGAGTCAGGCTCTGCAGTGAGAGCACAGCACCTTTTTGAGATTCTCTCTCTCTCTCTCTCTCTCTCTCTCTCTCTCTCCCTCTCTTTCTGTCCCTCCCCCACTTGCTTGCTCTCTCTCCAAACAAACTTAAAATAAGTATATAAGTAAATAAAAAGAAATTAGGTTAGTGAGATCATCGTCTATGTTCTGATAAGATCAGTTTAATTTGCCGGATCAGTGTTATTTGTTGCGCAAGAAAAAGCACGTGGCGTCTAGGGATGCACAGGCAGATGTGCAGAGCCCTGAGGGGGTTGAGGGGACATCGAGCAGTCACGTCCTTTCCCTCTGGGCTGCACAGTCTCACGGCCCCAGGCTCACCTGCAGCACAGGTGGAAGATCCTCTCCGGCCTCCCTTCAGACTCAGACTTTACATGGACAATTTCACACACGGCATTTGCTTCCGCGTCTACATAAATTAAAACAAGGAGGGATTAGCGTACGTTCCAAAGAGATATGTTTGCATTTTTACAAAAGCATGTTCTACGCCCTGGCGTAAGATTAAATAGCGCAGAGCCTCATAAGACCAAAGGTCCTTCACCACCATCCTGTCAGCTCAGAGAGACAAAGTGAGAGCTTAATGGGTGTTAAGAAAAAGAAATGCTTGGAAATTTTCCAGTTGCTACAATCTCCTGCTAGATGGTCTAAAAGGGCAATCAGTCAATCATATTGATCACAGAACTACCCCTTTAGCTGCACGGCCTGTTTGGCCGGACTTTTTCCATTAAGTGAATGGTTCTTTTGGCAACGGTTGGACTAGACAGAACCCAAGATGCCAGTGCAGAGTGCAGCAGGCCAGTGCTATCCAGAGGCAGGTCCTCGTGTCCCTGAGAAGAGCCTTCCCTGTGAGTGGCCAGGCCCGTGTCCTGGCCAAGCAGGTCCTGGAAACAGATGGGCCTCCTCCTCTTTCTCAGCACCCCCAGGGTGTCCACTCTGAGGGAAGCAAAAATGGGATGCCCAGAGGTGGGGACAGTTGTACTTTAAAGTCATTTCTAAGCTTTGCAACGTCAGCATACCATGGTCTTTGAAGTCAGAAATAGTGTTTGTGGAAAGGACAATTACTGCAATCAGCAAAGGCTGCACATTGCGAGGTCTCAGCCTTACCCAGCGTGGTACCGAGAGCCCCGGTCACAAACCCTCATTGTGCCCACACGATTTAAGCCCAACCAGGGTTCATCTGCAAAAATGTTCACGAATCTTCCCAAACGAAGATAAAAATCGAGAAATTGCACATTCTGGTTTCTCAGAGCCGCTAGAATGTATCTCATGACGAGAAACAAGTTGGCTAATCTTTCTAAGTCACTTAAAAAAAAAGCTTTTATCTTGATTATCTTAAACATGCTTTGAATGAAAGCATGAAAGAGTGAGAATGGAACAGCACATCACAAAGATGGCTTTGTTGCCACAATTTAAATTCTTTGTGTACGTGGTCCTCAGCGAAGGCAGAATATCTGGCCGAGAAGCCAACAGTTGGCCACGGACACAAGCTTTCCCATTTATAAAACAGGCACAACATACGAACTAGATAATCTGCAACCTACAGTTACAAAATAAGACAAGAAGAGTGTTTAAGTGCCCCATCCTCGGAAAGCTACTCCAGCTAATAACTTCCAGGTTCTGGCAAATCAAATAAAGTAAAAAGGCACCAGAGTAAATTGCTGTGCCTCAAGGTTGGGAAGAAACCTTCTTAAGGCAAATGATCATCCCACATACATTCGTCCTATGGGGTTTCTGCATTTGAGTGTTTCTACAAGAGATCACAACAGTGAGGGAAGAAGCTCTGGTTTAATTTCAGTGAGTAATTGAAGGTTCACTAAAACCGCATGACGTGGCACTTGACTTTATGAGGATCAGAGCCAATTTTATTACTCATGGAGGTGACGCGTGGAAACAGGGAAGGATGAGGAACACACACTGGGCACCAAGAACTTCATGCTCACATCAGATGCCAGAAGAGGATACAGAAAGACGGATGTACTGTGCATTGCAGACGTCCCTTCCATGTCCTCCCTTCACTACCAGACAACTGCACCTGTTGTCCAAGTGGGATTGGGCTTTAATGGCTTTATTTTGTGCTTTTGGTGGCCTTTACGGGCCCCCCGGTTAAAAAGCTAGTGAGTGATTTTCTGTGGGCTTTAATCTGCTCACGGTCTCAAGGATTCTGTCCAGAAGTACAAGACTCACTGCTACTCAGATATTAGGCACTATAATATTAATACATATAACAGGATTGACTAGAACTCCTTGAAACAATATTGAAAACATTCCATCCATTCGCTTAGTTCATGCATGCATGCATGCATTCATTCATTCAAATATTTCATACATGGCTGGGAACACAAGAGGCAGTAGAGAGACTGAGGAAAAAGAGATAAATATAGAAGAAAAAGGAAGGTTACAGAGGTTATGCCAAAGAAAGGATTCAGACCAACCGTTCACACACACGTTGGAAACATGCACCCGACATGTTCCCGTGTTTACCTGCACTTGCCAAAGCTCGAACCTGCAGAGCTTCGGTGGGGATCATGTGCCGAAACCGGAAGGGGTCCCAGTCCTCATAAATCGAAAGCCTGTGAGATCCTACCTGCAGGAAGAGAAGGAAGCGGGTGCGTGGGGGTGATCTGCTTCAGCCTGGACCGGACCCCCCCCACCACCACAGACACACACCCACACCCCCCACACCCACACCCAGACAACTAGTGAGGCTGGAACACCCCGTGCTGGTCTGGAGGGACCTCAGCCCCACGGGAAGGAAGATGAAAGGGATTCCCCAAAAGGGGGACAGAAAAAAGGAAACAAGTGTCAGGAAGGTTCTGGCCATGATGGGCCCCAATAGCTCTTCACGTTTCATGCTCTCAATGTGCACCTGCCAAAGAGAAGGCGGGGTAGGCAATTTCCTCCTGTTCTTAGCAACACTGCAAATGTATTTAGAACGGAAGGAAGGAAGGAAGGAAGGAAGGAAGGAAGGAAGGAAGAAAGAAAGAAATCACACGAGGCTTGTGCCTGACCAAGGGGCAGAATGGTAATTATGCAGATAAAAACTACGAAGCAGACAGAAACGGAGTTACTTTCAAACCAGGGGAGACATAAGAAGTCTTACAAGTTTCTTCTTCTGTTTGGAACCGTCTTTATACACAAGGACCACAGCAGTTTTGAAGACTGGAAAAAGAGGAGACAAGGTGGTTACAGCACATAACACATGGGCTTTCCTCTGAACTCCGATAATGGACACTACAGTTCCCAAGAAGACAGCGAGGGGCATGTGAGCCAGCCCCGACCCCACCTTCTGCTCATTCACCCCATCCACACGGCTCCAAAGCCTCCTGAGATGACAATTTTCCAAAAACCACAGAAAGCCTAAGTAAATGGAAATAAACCCTCCTGCCCCACTGGAACCTTTTTTTTTTTTTTTTTTTAATGCTATTTATTTTGAGACAGAGAGAGACAGAGCATGATGGGAGGAGGGTCAGAGAGAGGGAGACACAGAATGAAACCAGGCCCCGGGCTCCTGAGCTGTCAGCACAGGCCCGAGCGTGCGGCTCGAACTCATCAGCTGTGAGATCTGACGAGCTGAAGTCGGACGCTCAACCGACTGAGCCACCCAGGCGCGCCTGGAACCTTTTTAAAGCAAGTTTAATCATGGTGTGATTTCAAGTTTAAAACTTCGGCAGAACGCATTTAACAAAAATGTACTGGTTCAGCAGCTGGAGGAACAGTACAAACCTCGATGATGATAACAAAGCTTACAGGGATTTAGATTTATGCCAGCTAACCTAATAAATAGTGCGCGCGCACACACACACACACACACACACACACACACACACAGAGTATTGATAATTCAGGAAACAGAACTCATCTTTTTTGACCTAAAGAAATGAAAATGCGTTTATGGAACCAGAATGCAACTGCACTTCTTCCAAATGGGGCTGAATCACAGGAAGGATCCAGGGGCAGAGAGCTTGCCGGTTTATTCTTACAGTGTTTGAGGGGTAGAGGAGACCCAATAGTTGTGCACACTCCATAGAGTTCCTTAAACAATGCCAAGCATGGTGACCACTCAGTGACTCTGACTCTTCCTAGAGGGAAGGAAGAACGGGCGCCCAGGAGACCAGAAGATGGGCAAGCCCATCGCTGGCTCTTGGATGAAAGGACTCCATCCCTCTTCCCGCTCTGGCCCCAAGAGCCAGGGCCCAGGTGGTCACACGGCAGCTGGAGGGGCCATGCCTGGTGTACCAGACCCAGGATCACAAAGGGAAGGAATATTCTGAGCATTCTCAGGGAGGGGCTCCCAGGCCTTCTGGAGACCAACCCCAAGAGTCTGGCTCATTTTCTGTCCTTATATATGGACATTTATTATAAATGAATCGGCTTCTCCTTGGTGCAAAATGCCTCTAACTTCCACTGCAGAAACCAGCCTGATGGTGTAAAGAAACCAGCTCTAGCCACTGGGTCTGGACTGCCCCTGGCCCTTCACGCTCACAGCATCCCACCCCTCAAGAGTTCCAGAGGGTTGGGGCGCCTGGCTGGCTCAGCTGGTAAAGCATCCAATTTTTGGTTTCGGCTCAGGTCATGATCTCACGGTTTGTGAGTTCGAGGCTCATGTCAGGCTCTGTGCTGACAGCACAGAGCCTGCTTGGGATTCTCTCTCTCTCCCCCCCTCTCTCTGCCCCTACCCCACCAGTGCTGTCTCTGTCTCTCTTAAAATAAATGAAAGAAAGAAAGAAAGAAAGAAAGAAAGAAAGAAAGAAAGAAAGAAAGAAAGAAAGAAAGAAAGAAAAAAGGAGGGAAGAAAGAAAAAGAATCCCAGAGGATTGACGGAGAGGTTCCCTCTCCAAAGTCCCCACTGGCCCAATAAGGCTGTACCTGCTCTGCACGGTGACTAACACTGGCACCTGAAGAGGCCCTACATTCCCACCGGAAGCCTTCAGAAATCACCACGGCCGGGACAATGGGTCCCTTTAAAACCGAGGGAGCTCCACCCCAGGACAGGGTGTCCAGTGACCTTAGTCTCAGAAGACCCACCAAGTCACTGGGACTACAGCTCAATGGGGTGGTTGCTATGGTTCTAAAAAGGCTACTGGCCTGCCTCAGTTTACCCTGACCTCAACTATCTTGGATCACGGCGGTGGGGCCAGAGCGGTCCTCAGCAGGGGCTGTGACCACCTCCGCCTTAAACCCTCCCTGATCCCCTGGGACTAGTCTCACTCAGCTGACTGGAGGTGTTGCCCAATCTCTTCCACATGACCCCCACCAAAACTCCTAGCTACCCCTTGCCAGCCCCAAGCACTCCTCTACACCCCCAGCAGTGAACATCTAATACCCTGCAAGGCGGAAGCCTAGACCAACTATTTCTTTTCTTTTTTTTTTTAAGGTGATAATCATCAGCATTCAGTACAGATTAGCCATCCTGTGAGTAAGAACATCAAGGTGCTGAGGTATACATCAGTACATCAATTTGTTTCAGAGGAAAGCTGCGCTGTCTCCTGAGAGGAGAGATTCAAATCAAAAGACAACCACATTTTAACCCCAGGGCTGCCTGTTCAATGGTAATTACCCTGCCTCCCTTATAGCAACTCCTCTTCACTTCAAAAGGCATTTCTAAGGCTGTTTGCTCTGCCTTGCTACCTGAAATCACATCAAAACTGCCAAACATGACCTTGGAGGACTGAAAACCCGTAAGTAAGCTCATGATGGTGAGGACAGTCTGCCTTTACTCATAATCCTGGTTTGTTTTTCTCAATTTTTTAAATTAATGTTTATTCATTTTCTGAGAGAGAGACAGAGACAAGAGACAGAGCGTGAGCAGGGGAGGGGCTGAGAGAGAGGGAGACACACAATCCAAAGCAGCGTCCAGGCTGTGAGCTGTCATGTCAGCACAGAGCCTGATATGGGGGCTCGAACCTGCAAACCGCAAGATCATGACCTGAGCCGAAGTCAGACACATAACTGACTGAGCCACCCTGGTGCCCTCTGGAGATGACTCTTACTTAATAAGCTTGCCTCCACCTCCCATAGAGCCTTGGGCAATTCTCACCTCGCTAACTATGGCCCCAGCGGAGTCTACAGGCAGTGTGATCACCGATCACTGGGGCTGGGTGTGCAACTTCCATTCACGCCCAGCACAGGTGTTGGGGGCTCCCTTTTGGTGAGCCTCCTCCTCTCCCAGCCCCAGTAAGCAACCCATGGGGCAGGGAGCAGAATGCTGCAGAGTGAAACACACACTGTCCTCCCTCTGAGCCTGTGCAGCAAGAGGCAGCTAAAGCCCCAAACCTCAAAAACAGCCTGTTCCTGAACCCTTTGTAAACCACCCTGGAAACTGGGGCCAGCTGCCTATTCAGCACAGCCTGCGAATACAGGCGCTCATTTGGTTACATATGGTCTATGGTTGCAGTTTGGCTACAAATGACTTCTGACCCTGAAAACCTAAAACATTTACAATGTGGCCTTTTACAGAGTAGGTTGGTTGACCCCTACTTTCTCCCACTCAAATTATTTTCTGGTTTTAAATCTGTTCATTTCTAACCCCAGGAAATCTGTACAATTCAGGACATAGTCGTGAAAAAGTCCCAATGACAGAACTCTGGAATTGTTCACCTGTAGCCCAGAATCAGAAACAGGTAGGTAAGACTGTTTGGGTCATTTACTTGGGAATCATACTTCCTAGAAATGACCTACCATGAAGCATCAGAAAGCTGCCAGCCCTTCCAAGAAGAAATTGCAACATAAGAAACACAACTGGTAAGTGGGGGGTGGGGGGTGGGGTGGGGTAGGGAAAGAAAACACTCTCCTTACCCCTGCCAAAAGCACCCCGCCCCCATCAAAAGCTACCAACGTTGTTATAATATCCCAATACTTTCTTGTATGATGCATGTAGTCACATATTTTTCTTGCACACTTCTACCCACCTTTTATTTTTTTAATGTTTATTTATTTATTTTGAGAGAGCGCACGAGAAGGGAGAGGGGCAAACAGAGAGAGAGAGAATCCCAAGCAGGCTCCAAGCTATGAGCACAGAGCCCGAACCCACAAACCACAAGCTCATGACCTGAGCCGAAGTCAAGAGTGGGAGGCTCAACGAACTGAGCCACCCAGGCGCCTGCCCACCTTTGTTATGCTTAATGAAATGGCATCACTACTCTAGTGGCTTTTTGAAAATGTTACAAAGGTCACTACGTTTTTCCGTGAAGGCTGAGTGATCTAAGTGAGAAGTTCAACAGTCTTTATGTTCAACACTCCGATTTTAATATCACTAGGATGTTCCACCTGGGGAGACTCTGTTCACATCGTGGGGGGAGGAAAAAAAGAAGTGTTCTGGTTAAAGAAGCCTTAAGCAACAACCTCTTGAAGGCAAGGTAAGAAAATGGAAATGCTAGATTTCCTTTATTTTAGGTTCCCACCCATGAGTCTTCTGTAGAGGCTAGGAGAAGACACAACATAAAACAGAAGCACACACTGTTGGTCGTTTTGCACCCAGAACGGCACTGCAGGCCGTCCAAGCATTCAAACTGCAACAACAAGCCGTATTTCCTAAATTACCCACAATTCCCGGTGTGCCAAAACACAGTTTTCTCTCTCAAAGAGCATTTCACAATACGACCGCGTGAAGAGTCCTGATTACAGCAACTGCATCCATCTGAACCAGTTTATTGAAAAAAAGAAATCACGCACAAGCATCTCTACTTTTGCTAGTATTCGCCCTACTGTGATTGAGAAGCACCCCACAACTGAGCAAGGCACCCACCACAGGTGAGCTGAGAATCAGAGTCCTGAATCCCAGCACCACACACAACAGCAGAGTCAGCAAGGATAAAAGATGTCAGATTTGAGGTCGCAGAAAAAGACGGTGTTTTCATTTTTGCCCATCGGCTTTTCCCTGGTGTATTGTTAACCTGTTATTTTGAAAAGCTATGCAGAGGGGGGTTGGGTGGCTCAGTTGGTTAAGCATCCGACTTCGGCTCAGGTCATGATCTCACAATTCATGAGTTCGAGCCCTGTGTGGAGCTCTGTGCTGACGGCCCAGAGCCTGGAGCCTGCTTCCAGTCCTGTGTCTTCTTCTCTCTCTGCCCCTCCCCACTCCTGCTCTCCCTCTCCCTCCCCGCCCCTTTCTCAAAAATAAACATTAAAAAAGGGTTTTTTTAATAAAAAATAAAAAGAAAAGATATTCAGAGCAGGGACGACAACAAACTCTTTCTCTGCCTGCGTGTTCGTACACGGGGCAGGCTTGGCACGGCCATTCCCTCCCTCCCACGTAGCTGGTGCTCACACTGGCCATACTTAACTGGAAGGTTTCATTCACTGTTTGTGACATGTTGGTGCTCAAGGCAGGAAGACCGGTTCAGATAACTGGAATGAACTTCATTTTAATAAATTGGGTCTTGGGAAAGACATGTTCTTGTTTTGGGAAATAAGCCCAGCCTCCCTCCCTGTGCCCACCCTCACCAGCCCTGTTCTGATACGTACCAAAGGCTGCCAGTTCTGGCTCCTTTTTCCACTTTCCCAGGGAGGCTGGCGGGTTTGGCCAAATCACGGTGGTGTGCAAAAGCAGGTCCCCCATGCTCAGATCCGCAACCTGAGAAGCACAGAAAAAACTTGCAGGTGGTTGTTACAATATTCAGATTTTTAGGTTTTCAAATCTGGCAGGCTGATGTCAATCTTATTTCACAAAAACATGGCCTTTAACAACATCTGGTCACTTTTTTTTTTTCTTTTTCTTTTAAATAGATTTCCCATACTTTTTAAATTTTTTAATGTTGATTTTTATTTGAAAGAGAGAGAGAGAGAGAAAGAGACAGAGACTGTGCACGAGTGGAGAGGGGCAGAGAGATGGAGACGGAATCTGAAGCAGGCTCCAGACTCCCAACTGCCAGCACAGAGTCTGACGCAGGGCCAGAACTCAAGAGCCATGAGATCATGAACTGAGCAGAAGCTGAACACTTAACGGACTGAGCCACCCAGGTACCCCTGGTCACTTTGTTTTCTTTACCCCACATTTATCTACAAGAATTTCAAGACTAGAGTGGCAAAAGGTAGAAATTGGGGCCTCAAAATTCACACACAGTAGCCTGGAGCCTGGAGCCTGTCAAAATTGATCTATAAAACTGGCCAAGCTCTGTGTTCAAATAGAGACAGTTCCCCAAGAAGAGACAAATGGCCATCGATCACAGACATTCCCCCCCAGAAAACTAGGCATTTCCACCTATGGCTTTAAATCCCCTTGGAGCCAAGGTTTTTCTGGAAAGCAGTGGAACCAATGATTTTTTCTTCTTCCAGCTCATTCTAAAGGTTTGATTTCACTTTAGAGGAGGAAGAGAGAAGCCAACTGAGGAGTCTGAAGAGTGTTCTTTCAGTATGTGCAGCATGAGCTCAGGGATCCGCAGAGATCATGGGGTGTGGTCACACAGCTGGGGGAGACTGAGCACAAGCCTGGTCCAGATGCGTCTTTGGGTCGTAGAGCCATCCAGACATGATGCTGCGGCAGTCCAGTGCTGACACTTCCCAACAGCCACCTCTGCCTTTGTCACCGGAGTCCAGGGCCCATTTGCAAGCCCATCCACACCTCAACCTCCTGCCCACTCAGCAGCCTATTCACAGGGAGGAGAAGCATCTGGTCTCTTGACCTGCTCTCTGTGCAGGCACATTAGGGGACAAGGCTTTACAAACAACCAGAGTCCGTGGTCCACCCACTGATAAATACCAAACACTGCCAATAGGTTCCGCATCCAGAGATCAAGCTCAAGGCAGCATTTCAGATACTCCAAAACTTGATGTTGAGCTTCTCAAAGACAGATGGGTCATTTTGCTGCTTATAATCTGACAGGGTTTCTGGAAATAGCAGCAGCAACCCGGCAGCCCTCTGCTGACCACAGTGCCATTTGGCGTTGCTCATCCTGAGTCACCAAGTCAGATGCTGGTGCTGGGGATGCGGCTCCAGCAGTACAAAATCCAGTGGTGTCGGGGCACCTGAGAGGCTCAGTCGGTTAAGCACTGGCTTAAGACTTCGGCACAGGTCATGATCTCGCGGTCTGTGAGTTCGAGCCCCATGTCGGGCTCTGTGCTGACAGCTCAGAGCCTGGAGCCTGCTTCGGATTCTGTGTCTCCCTCTCTCTCTGCCCCTCCCCCACTTGTGCTCTGTCTCTCAAAACAACGAATAAACGTTAAAAAAGAATTAAAAACACAAACTAAACCAAAATTCCGTGGTGTGGTTACCACTATAGTGACTGGGGGATCAATAATAATAATTACTGACCTGTATTATTAGTAAGTAGTATAGCCAAGGATAAAAAAAATTAATCAATCTTAGTTTGTTTGTACATATGAAATAACTAGTCAACCACCTCCCAGAACAGTCTCAACTAAGGTAACTATAGTCTCTACTACCCATGCCCCAAGCATCCGCACAAAAGAGGACTGTTTATACACAGAAGTCAAATTCCCAGGTACCATTCTGGGCCACCGCCTTAGGGGATATGTCTTTAAACATGATTGAGGGTCACTGGGGCAGATCATTCTCCAAACTCTACTTCCTTCTCCGACATAATTCTGTATCGGCACCCTCTGCCATGTGACTTTCTAGCACCTCCCACTACACCAGGCAAATCCCTGATGACTCTGCACGTGGCCATGTGCCTTGGGCCTCGGACTTGCCACAGTAAGTTTCCACCAGCCCTCCTGGGCTTCCACCTTCCATGGAAACGATATGCCCAAGACAGCCACTGCTTCTTAAGCCCAGATCCCGAAAGGATGACAAGTAGAGTCATTTACGTTCTAGAGCTCACCAAGAAAGGCCAGAGTTCCGCTGGCCCACATACCCGAGTGTGGTGGTATTCACTGAGATGTTATTTGTCACATAGTGAAAAGGGACTGATGCAGTCCCAGTCCATGTGGTTATGCTCTGTTTTCAAGTTTCCACATGGCCCACGGAATAAGGGTGTCAGCGCTGCCCATCCTGGCCAACAGTATCTCTCTTGGCCTTCTATTTGTCACCTTCTCAATTTTCTGCCCAAACCTCAAGACTAAGCTCTGCTTAGAAGTCTGGCCTGTTCTACTCGGCCACGTCTTTTGGGCCCAAAGGGGACATGCCCTCTTTGGTCTTTTCTTCATCCTACCTAAGCAAAAGGGATGCTCTACGTGGTCCAGCTCAACTCTGCAGGGTTTAACATGGTGAGGTTGAAGGCCTCCCAGCTTCATCATACAGTATTTTCTTGAACAGCTTTGTTCTTTGTGCACATATCTGCCTTCAGGGATCGCCTGAGGAAAGTGGCTGATGACAAGATGAGCTACGGTAACGTGTCCCTGGAATGTTACCATTTCGATAGTGACCCACCTTTCCCAACAGATACTGATAAATGTTCCTATTCATAACTGTTGACAAACTGTTCATAAATCCATTCTAGGTTTTTACTGGATATTGCCATTAAAAAGGAACTACAATGATCAGGAATCAGCTCTGTGGGAATCAGGACATAACCAAAGTTTCCATAATTGCTCCAATGTATGTGGCAAGGAGTGTGATAACTGATCTGTGCACTATTTCCCCAGGACCCACATTTCCCTCAGGTCTTGTGTTTGTGAAATTGAGACCACTCCATCCTTTTCAGTTTGAAGACCATCCTCAAAGAGAGATTGCATGGAACTTGAGGCCTTCTCCTTGCCTAATCAAGGATCGTTGGCTACTAAACCTCTGCTCCACTTTGGGCGCCTACTTCTTTCTTATTCTTCTTACAGGGTTAAAACACAATCTTCTGTTGCTTTCTTTGGCATCTTTTCCAAGCCTTGATCTTTCTGGGCTTTGGACGTCCTAATACTGAGATAGGATTTTCCTTCTCTTTAATACTGGTTCTCAGTTAAATGTCTCCCTTTATCTTTTGCACATTTCTTTTCACAAAATCTCAGCCCACGGGAGGCTATTTTGTACCGCACTTTGTCTCTTTGTTCCTCGCTAGAAAGATTTCTTACTTGATTGTCAGAATTTCATTGTAGAGGACGGGCAGTTTCACCAAAGCCATGTTCCCTTTCACGGTCCTTGACTTTTGAATCATATTCGTCTTTTTTTCTTTCCCTAAATGCTTTGCAATCCACTATCCATATCACTTTCTAGTCTTTAGCATAACAAGGTCTTTGCCCCCAAGGTCATTAAAATCCAGAAGCTAGCTTGATGCATCATGAACAATATAATGAAAATGTTCATTTCCCAGGCCCAATAAAATTCACTTCTGTCAAAATTAAAATAAACTAAAACACAGGGGAGGAAGTGTTGTGATAAAAAAATGTTTGCAGTATTGGGGTGCCTGGCTGCAGAAGCCTGATCTTGGGGTCGTGAGTTTGAGCTTCACATTGGGTATAGAGATTGCTTAAAAATAATAACAATAATAAATAATAAATATATATATATAATAAAAATAAATAATAAATACTTTAAAAAATGCTGTCAGTATTATTTGTAGTAGTCAATGAAACCAAGAGATCTGTCTAATGACAGGAAATTAAGTAAACCATTGTTCGCCCACACAATGAAATATTACACAATAATTTAAATGATTGTTTTGAATAATTTAAAACAACATGGAAGTTTTTTGTTCAATATTAAATAAACAAGGCATAAAATTATTTTCAAAGTATAATTATTCAAGCATATACAGAGATATAATTTTCTAAATCAAAGCAAACACCCAAACATTAAGAGTGGTAAGTGCTTTGAGATCGAAGAGATTTTTCTCCTTGTCTTTTCCCGTATTTTGCCCTCTCACAAGCATCCCACGGCTTTCTTCTTACAAAGGTTTTATAAGAAAATGAGAACTCAGTCCAGAGTAGCCGTGCCCACCTCTTCTAAACTCTTGATTGATTACATCATCTGCCAGGTAGACTGCGAACATTCTCATGCTCTGCTTGTCACACCGGTAGAAAAAAATAAATGGTGTTTCAGTGGAACACTGTGGATCCTCTAACACACCCTCCCGAGCCGTCAGACTGCAGCCCTCCATGCTGCCTTTGAGCTCCTCTGCAACTCTCTTGAAGGTGTAGGCAATGGTTGTCCAGTCGGGTGCTGACTTGACTTCCTCCCACTGTGGAGAAGCCAGTGTGTCTCCATTTGCATACGATCACACTATTTCTTCATGTCTTATCCACACCTGTGCTAGTCCAGCTTTTCCAAGAAACCGTGGTGACGTCTGCCTGGTTCCCTCCTATCATCTGAGTAACATAAATGTCTTAATACGTCTTTGCTTTTACATCTAGAGGAGGGCCCATGATTTTACCTCTGTCTGAAAATCAGCCTTTAGCAGTCTGAAAACTTGTTTTGTTTCCCTGAAGACATCAAAATGAACCCGGACAGTAATCCTGTGTACCTTGAGGATAAGGCTGTTTTCTCTCTGCTTAGACTAAACAACCAAGTTTCCCCGCCCCCTTGTCTTTTACCCTCTTTGTCATCCCAGTAGGAGTGATTTTCTTCCTGGTTCCCTCCCAGCTTTTCTCCTTTCTTTTCTTTTAAAGGCAGAAAGCAAACCCGAGGAGAATATTCCAGCCGAATGCACAGAGGCAGTGATGAACGTTATTACATATCCTATCCCTCGGATTCATCTCAGTATTATCAGAATTTTTATTCACATAAGCTCTTGTCAATGACTCAGGCATTATTTATAATTTGCTCTCCGTTTTTCTCAGGTGTATCTGGCCCTGTCACTCTTTCTTCTAAGTAGGTTTTTAGGTAGACTTAAAAAAAAAACAGATTTAGAGTCATTTGAAATTTTCATTCATTTAGCAAATATTGACTGAGCCCCTACGACAGGCTGAGCATTATTCTAATCTCGAGGGATGCAGCTTTGGCCTTTTACGGTGCTTACGGAAGCAGCCCAAGCCATGGTCATGGGGGTTCAGGCTCACACATAACAGAATAAAACCAGAGGTCCCGAGGGGGAAGGAATGAGACTCAGAGACGCGGTTCCGATATTAAGAACTAATTCAGCTGAGGAAGAAATTTCACTTATAGCCTTGGATAAAGGGTAAAAGTTCCACCGACAAAAACAATACCTTCGTAACTCTTTCACTTACAAATAACACCTTCAGAAAACAATGGAACCAACCCAGCTTTACTGCCAGGTGTTCTGAGAGGCCGGCCCCCTTACCTCTTTTTTCTCACCGGTCTGTTCAGCAATGAGCTGGTCAAACACAGCCCCAAATTCTTCATGAATTTTCTGCATTTCATTGATATGACTTGCAACCTTGTTCATAGTCTTGATGGCCACTGGAAGAAAACGGCCGTGAAAGGCAAAGGCTGTTTAGAGATGGTCACGGAGACACGGGCGGGGGGGCGGGGGGCAGA